TTGTCTGCTATTGACTTACAGTAAATTCTTCTTTGAAAAAATTCTCTAAAAACTGGCCTGCATGCCTTTTAAGTCTCTTCCCCTACATCTCCCCTGCATCTCCCCTGCATCTCCCCTGGGAGGCGCTTTTTCACGTTGGCGCTGATGCTTTGGGATGAGAACAAGTGCACCAGGAAATGCCCCCATGTGCGAGTGAGCACCCCACACTGGCGAGCTCACTGTTTTTCAAATGCTTTCTGGCAAACGCAACGTCTCCCGGCCCTGGAGCAGTGCCGTGTGGACGCCGCATCTGCTGCACTTTCGGGATTGCATGTCTTCTCCCACGCGCAATAAGGACCTTCAGTCTGGCACAGCCATGGCGGAGATATAAGGCCTGGAGCAGCCCAGAGTGGGTGGGACCCATGTGTGCCGCCAATCACTGCCGGTAACTATGGCAGCTGGTGATTGACAGCCATGATAAACCAGCCCACTGTGGTCTTTGATGTTTTATATCAGTGTTTCCCAACCCAGTCCCCAGGGACCCACAGGTCCATGATTTTGTTCCCTTCGAGCTCCCTGCCAGACAGTCCACACTTTTTTTGAACCAGAGTGCCTTCTTAGTGTTCAGTCTATCTGTCCAGCTCTTTAGGACCTTAACACTATACACAGTGTAACCCATCCTGACTCTGGGTTAAAGTTAATGTTTGTTTTTCCATTCATACTGTAAAGGAGCAGTCAGGCGTGACTGTTGGGCAATAGGACCTTGGTGGTGAATGCTGGGTCAATTAGCATGAAATTAGCATGAAATTAGCATGGCAGCAAAAAGCGCTACCAGCTCGAATCCCATTAGGGTCTCCGTTGTTATACCCTAGAACCACATATCTACTCAGAGCTGCCTTGATGAAGTTCATTCAGACTGTCACTAGGCGTTTAAAGGGCCTGGGGCACCATGTCACAGAGCCCCCCCCCTCCCCCCCAGGAAGGGGTGCTTACGCGTATGAGCCCCCTCTCAAACTCCCAGCTGGGGGTTTTAGCAAAGCTGGTAACTTCGCATAAATCTGTCTGCTGGTGCAAAGATCATAAACGTCACCTGACCATGTGCCCTGACAGACCCACAGCTGTTTGCTGATGGTCTCAGTATCGCTTCAGCTTTTCCCCCAGGCGTGCCGTTCCTGAGCCGGACCTGAGCCCTGGAAGGAGCACATCTGTCTCCTGGGGGCAGTGAGAGAATTTCTGTGGCGTCTGTTACCGTCAGACATGCTGCACTTGCAGGAGCGCAGCACAGACACATGCAGAGGGTCGCTCCCACCTGAGGTACTGCGCTGTCCCTTTAAACATGAGTCTCCAGCCCCCAGCACACACACACACACACAGAGCCTGGGTGGGCGAAACACAACCGGGACTCTGTAGACAAGTAGATCCATGCTGCTGTGCTCCGGAGTGTGGGCATCATGCCTGGAATTCAGTCCAAAAGATTCATAGTTCGCAGCTCTGCAGACCCTTCCACACTCACGCTCACACTCACTCACTCATTCACATTTAGTTGAAAACCTGTCGGGACAGTAACTGTAGGTAGCTGAGATCACATCAGCCAATCACACCCAGCAAATGGGGGGGACTGGGTGATCTGGCTGTGGCAACTGGGTTTACTCCCGCACCCCGTCCCAGCTCCGAACTGTCCCCCAATGGGTCCTACCTGTGGTTCCTGACAGACTGGACCTCCTGGTACCTGCTGTGCCTGCCCTGTTTCTGGATCAGAGCCGCTCCGCCTCGGAGGGATCGCGATGTCCTGCTCTTGGAGTTGATGTTCCTGCACGGTCCCTCTTCTGTTCCCTCCCGTCCATCACTGGCTGCATCCCTGAGCCAGCCAGCCAGCGTGTAAACGTGTGAGTGAGTACTCGTGCCTCTTCGGCTGCCTGCTTCTGTCTGTGTTCAGCCCTAATCGCAGGTCCTGTTGATTCGCGGTGTCTGTGTGTGGGGGGAGACACTGTGTGTCAGCTCCGCTCTCCATATTCAACTCAACCCCGCATGTGTGTGTGTGTGTGTGTGTGTGTGTGCGCGCGAGCTAGATTGTGAGTCTCCTGTTCCTCCTCTTCAATGTATCCCAGCAGGGGAGTCAGTTTAAGCCCATGTGCATTGTGGGTAGGCGGCTGCTCCTCCTTGTGCCCATCCTCCAACAGCTGAACTAAGACCTAAGAACTAAGGTGCTAGCTGAAGACCTAGCACCCCGTAAGATATCTGGTAACGTGCCTCCCAAAGTCTGTGTTATGAAATGACCAGAATGGTTCTGAGTCCCACACCAAACCTTTCAAGCCCAATAGTTCACGTTCTGCTGCTAAAGCAGGATGCTGACAAGCACCCATATATATCCATGGTCAGGGCTGTGGGAAGCCTGGGGTACAGCCTGGACAGGACCAGTTAGGTACCACTTAACCTTTTTGTGCGTCTTTGGACTGTGAGAGGAGACCCTGAAGAAACCAGCCTGACACGGGGAGAATATGCAAACCCCACACATGGCGGAGGCGAGATTCGAACCCCCAACCCCGGAAGCATGACGCAATAGTGCTACTGCTGATGTTCAAAGCAGCTAAAATTTGACAGGAGCTGTGGACAGAGGGGGCTGGCGATTCCTGAATTGTGTTGCGGTCCATCTCTCCTGTAGAACGGGCTCCGAAGGTTTGATCATGGACAAGGGTCCACGTAACTGGAGACGCAGCTGCTGACTCATTTCAATGTGATTTAAAGCACCACGGCTTGCGACGGGGTGAGTGAGGTTATAAGACAGTATGACGCAGCTGGTTTCACCGTGCCATGATCCTGCAGGGGATGCAGTGGGCAGGAAAAAGGCCTCGTCATGTGACTATTACAGTCACGTGACTGCAAATATCATGTGACTAAAGGTTCTCTTTACAGGCGTTAATTGAGTGCCAATCCAGGACCACATGTGTGCACCCCCCCCCCCCCAGCAGAACTTCCTTTATCTCTTTCGGGGCCTTAGCTGAGCTTTCTCTCAGTAGAGTTTGAAAGAACAGGATGTTCTTTAGAAATCGGTGAACTCTGTTTACTTGGCAAAAGCAGCACACTTCTGAGCATGATACCTTGCAGGCAGGGACATACGGGTCTGCGTGAGTCAATATACCTCAGTGTTACAAAGTGTGATATCATCGTGTCCATCCTGTCGCTAATACACGCCGTAACTGGACTACTTAAGGATGCGGTGTGGGGATTACAAGTATTAAGCTTCTGGTTACCGCAGGCTTGTAAATCGTGCACTGTCAACCTTGAGGAACACGAGATTTTATCTTCTGATGCCACGCCTCCATTGATCAGACAGCTACTCTCCCGTAATCCACCAGGAAGCTAAAAGAACAAGTTTCCAGATGATGCGCATTTCTCACATGCTACGCGGTTGATACTGAGGCAGGGAGGAGTGGCGAAGAGAAAGGTTTCACTTTCAGAGCATGTTACAGTATCTCCCTGCCCAGCTTTCCTGTGAAAGGAGCCCTGAAAGATGGCCAACGAGGAAGAGAGGGACGACGGTGACAAAGGAGCCTAAAGGAATCCTGCAGCCGTGATTCCAGACTAATCCTCCCTGGCACAGTGCCCACTGCATCCCTGAGCACCGGGCCTCTTGCTGCCAGGGGACAGTGCAGTTAAGGAGCCATTCAGCTCGCCGGGATGGTATGGGCTCGAATCCCAAGAAGGCAGCTGTCGTTAGCTAACTGGATGCAACTAAATATATTACTTTATTAAGATGATGATAGACTATATATTGATAATAATAAAGCTGTCATCCATACTGCATTTTAGATTCTGTACCTTCATAATGCCTTATAGTGGTCAGTATAAGGATTATGGAAGCTATGTACTGCATTATGAAGGTAAATATAGTGCATTACAGATGAGAACTTCATAAAGCATTCATAATGAATAATAAATATGCCTATAATGTGTTGTGCCCTTTCATACATATTTATAGGTATGTTTTCCAAATGTCTTTGTAATGTAAGCAAAAGGGCAAAGAGCATCATCAGATGTACAAATATGCTGGTCACATGACATTGTTAAATTGTTAAGAGGCCATTTTACTATAAGCACGTTTGACAGACCCCTGTACACATCAAGGCAGTGCAGTACATAATCCTGTTTAAGGGCGGTGTGGTGGCTCTGAGGTTAGGGCTCTGTGCCAACAGTCGGAATGTCTCCAGTTCAAATCCCGTGAATGCCATGAGTAATTCTACTCTGTTGGGCCTTTGAGCGAGGCCCTTAACCTGTAATTTCTTTGTTCTGGGTATGATGCTAACCTACTTCCAGCCCTGTAAGTAGGTCCTCCAAAAATTTGGGGGTTGGTGACTGAATTGACACTAGAAAAAACTCCCCAACTAGAAAAAACTCACACTGCTCCATTCCATCTGAACTAGTATGATGCTGACATATTGCATGGCTGCACTTGGGTTCTCATCCCTGAGTGCTTTGTCATGTAGTGGCAACATGCTGTAATCAGTGTGCGCTCCTTACTTCTCTCATAGTCACGTTTATAATGCATTATAATGTGTTATAAATGCGCTCATCGATTCTTATAGACATGGCATTCATAGGAAGTGTTACCATAATAGTAATGATCTATTAGAGTGTCCACAAATGTTTAAAAAAGACGCAGGATTTATAATCTTATGCTATGGGAAATGATCAACCTTCACAGAATTTGACCATCAGGCAAGCAGTAGGACCTGACCAGGCAGTCGACGTGGACCTTCTCTGTAGAGCACTGACTACCGAACCAGCACAGACATCTTTGTATTTAAGATCCACTTACAAGAAACTATCAGAGTGGAGCAGCTTCATTGCTTAAACACGTTTGTTAAACCAGAATGGAAGCTGAGGACCTCATAGCTGCAATGATGGAAAACTAAAACCTCAATGTAGGAGTGTTTGGGTTGCTCAGCATGTGTTTGGTGAGCAAACAGAGGTTAGCCACTGCTATGGGCTGTTAATGTCACTAGCTGTCAATTCACTTCTAGGACAGTAAACAGAGAGAGCCTGCGTTTGAAACGCGTGCAGACCAGCTTGGCTGCATCTAGTGTAGGCAGGCAGCTCTGCGGTAACAAGTTCCTGTAGTGCTTTAAATTATTTATACAGCTGGGTATTTCACCTCAAGAGATCTGTAGGGCCCTTCCTGAGAGCAGGGGGGTGATTCTTCGTATGTGGATTAAAATATCCTAGATCAGAGGCCTCATCCTGCATCATCTAATCGTGGATATGTTTATCCGGCTGTTTCAGTTCTTCGAAGACACAGGAGACTTGGAATAGCGAAGTTGGATTAAATGATCTGAGAAAACTGCACGCTTCTGTGGACACTGACTAGGATAAATATTGTATATCGACACTCGAAACCATGATCTGCAAATTGTGTGATTGGCTGTCTAAGATGCCGAAAGCGAGGGTGCAATCTGTACGCATTTTTGGGGGCATTGCGGGCTTCGTAGGAATTGCGCTCTCGCTTTTACTGTACCATGTTGGGCACATGATATTTTATATACATACATACATACAGTGAGGGAGATAATTATTTGACCCCCTGTTGAATTACTAACTAGACCCGTTAATAAAGAAAATGAGAAGTCTGTAATTTCACTGGTAGGTTTATTTTAAGATAGAAGATAGATTTTCATCAAAACAAACAAGAAAAAATCATTATGTAACAGGTACGAATCAATTTGTCATTTATTTACAGAAATAATTATTTGATCCCCAAGCCAGCAAGAAATTAGGTCAAGTACATGTGCACTAACACAACACAAGTAGTACTTAATTAAGTATTAACAGATACCAAGCCAGTATTGTCATTTAATGGCATTACTTTGTTAAACAGCATTCTTGGGTCACTAACCTGTCTACATCTTCAACCTTATCACCATGGGAAATAACAAAGAGCTGAGACAAGATTGTTGACCTTCACAAAGGTGGAATGGGCTACATGACCATCAGCGAGCAGCTTGGTGAGAAAGTGACAACTGTTGGAGCAATTATCCACAAATGGAAGAAAGACAAGATAATTGTCAATTACCCTTGGTCTGGGGCCCTAAGGAAGATCTCATCTCATGTGGCATCAGTGATCTTAGGGAACGGTGAGGGCTAACCCCAGAACTACACGGGAGGAGCTCGCTAATGATCTCAAAGCAGCAGGGACCACAGTCAACAAGAAAACCATCAGTAACCGTTACGATTTTAAATCCTGCATTGCTTGCAAAGTACCCCTGTTCAAGAGGGCCCATGTTCAGGCCTGTCTGAAGTGTGCCAGTGAGCACCTGAATAATACCAATGAAGCTTGAAAGTATGTGATGTGGTCAGATGAGACCAAAATAGAGCTGTTTGGCATCAACTCTATTCTACCGCGTTTGGAGAAAAAAGAATGCTGACTCTAACCCCAGGAAAATCATCCCTACTGTCAAACACGGAGGTGGAAGCATTATACTTTGGGGGTGTTTTTCTGCCAAGGGCACAGGACGGCTGCACCGCATCGAAGGAAAGATGGCCAGGGCCATGTACCATAAAATCTTGGAGGAGAACCTCCTTCCATCAGCCAGGGCACGAAAAATGCATTGTGGGTGGGTCTTCCAGTGAGACAATGACCCTAAGCATACGGCCAAGGCAACAAAGGAGAGATTCAAGAAGAAGCACATTAAGATCATGGAGTGCCCTAGTCAGTCTCCAGACTTTAATTCCAT